CTTAAAATCTATCTTCAAATTTATAAGATTTTACTGTGCGTTATAGGATCGCTACGGTCGTTCTATATTGTGTGCGTCATTCGTTTATGACCATGTATCTTTTACCTGCACTATCTTCAAAGAAAAAGCTAAGCCTGAGGGAAAGGCAGACGCTATTCAGGCCGTCGGCAAACGCTACTTTGAAAAAGTTTGCCTGGGAGGTAAAGGTCTTTGTTCTGAACATTTTCATAAAATTTTCCAAATGCCATCTTTATACAGTTTGCAAGCCTAATCTTTTTTTCCTGCTCTACGATAGTTTACCATTTCTCAAAAACGTTGATTTCAATCTGACATTTGAACTGAGAAATAGAGTATCCGGTAGAGAGGAAATAGCATTTTCGACATCCGCTGAATTGTGCTATCTAAAGGCTAAAAAACTGCGAACTGGCTCACATCCGTTTTTTAAGGGGAAGGGCTACATCCTGTAATATTGCTAAAGATTCTTTCACAAGTTTAATTTCTGGTTTGTAAAACGCTCAACACCAAAAGCCAGCCGGGTTTGAAGGAGACTACTTGTTCCTAGCTCAATAAGCAAAAAAAAAAATTGGTTAGATTGGGGAACGATGGATAGAATTTTGTAGAGTAAGGAAAGAGCTTTCAAAATGTTTACACATTCAATCATAGTAAACGGTGGAGAAGTGACGCACGTATGATTGTGCTTTCTCCTTTTTTGCACTGTTTTGTTTCTTTCATATCCTTTTTGTTCCATTGTCGTTTAGAATATGTCCTTCGTGACTTCTTCAACGACTTGTCAAATAATCTCTGAGATATCAAGTGTGGATATTCCAAAATCTTATTTCCGTAACCTTAATTGAGAAGTCTTCTTATGTCTTTATCCATCTATATGTTTCACATCTAAACAAGCTAATTTTGATTTTTGAAATGCAACTTCGGCTAACTATCATGTCTTTAGAACTTACTTATATATTGCTCAAACCATAGCAGTGATTGAATCATAGCTACTTCAGATCTGTCTCGAAACATTTCGCTCAACCGTATGGTTACAAAAAACAGCTTAACCTTGCTTTAAATCATAACTACCTCCAGACTAAAGTCGGAATCGCCAGTGTTCTCTGAAAGACGCTTAGAAACAGCGCAGAAATAGGAATTATCTTTATATTCATGTTTATGGCACATGCTTATGTTCATGGCATGAAACAAAGGTATGGTTAGATTAAAAATAAAATTCACTATTCAGATTGTTATATATTAAGATGGTTTTGATGCGGGAGAGTTTGGTGAGACATTTTCCTGTTATGGGCTTTTGAGGTGTTTTAAGCTTGCGCAGCGTTGGTACCACACGCTAAATCGCATAATATGGTTTTTTGAGCGGGCGTGTAGACGCTCCAAAATTTCTATCATCTAAACTAGAAAACTATTTTGTTGAAGAGATGATAACAGATTTCTTTGATTACACTAGCCTAACATTTATCATGTTTTTTCTGTGCATCTAAAATATATCGTCAAGTTTTTTTTGTTTTTTCTTAGAAATAACCCTCTTCTTTCATATTGAGCAATAAGGAAATGGGCATAGGATCTAACATAACAAAGAAAAAAATATTATTTTACTTTATGAAAAATATGTTATTGGAAGTGGTCCTTTTTGAGAGCTTATCAATGAGGTTACTGCTGTAAAAAGGCAGAGAATTACAACAGTTACTGGTCATCTCATTATTTGTTATGAGCTGCTTTTCTGCCTAACTAAGCAATTTGCAAATTATAGAACATGTGCGATTTGCTGTGATGCCACTTTGTTATCTTTAAAAAAAATCCTCAGCAACGTTTTTATGCCTATAGTTCTTTTTCTTCAACTCTCATCCACGTCATGCACTGATACACTTGTTACATTTTAGTACCAGATTTGAATGTCTTCTATACAGATGCCGTTCCTGTGGAATGCGCTGACGCGCAGTTCATTCGCGCTGATGATTCCGTATTAATTGGATTCGCACGCAATGTTACACTTGTGGAAACTATGGAACAATGTGTGGAGCAGTGCATTAAAGAACAAGATTGCAAGGTTCGTAAAAAATGTATTGCTTTTGTAATTTCATTTCCCTCCTTCTCAGAAAGGCTTGCGGGGTAGATCGCGTAGCTATTGATCTTCATGTAATTAACCAACCTCAATTTCCGTAGAATCTTAAAGATTGAAGAAGACTTAATCTAAATGTTCGCAGTGCTCGTTGCGCTTTTTTTTCAAATTCTGATTTTGATGACTCACTGAATGCACAAACTCATCCTCTCTTCAAGCCTTGGCTCCATCTCAAACATAAGCATCGTATCATCATAACCTATACCTAGCCATTTCATTCATTGCGTACTCTCCTCACGAAGAGGGTGTAAAACAGGTAGGATTTGCTAGCGCAGGCTATGTTGTGCAGAGTTTGCTTCTATTCCGGACCTTACAGCAATCTAAACCGTGAAATATAAAAAGTATTTTGAAGAAGAGACAACCCTGTTTCTAGATGAATAGCATACTTCTTTTGAAATCTTGTTGGCGCCTTGACGAACAGCTTAGAGTTGTGCAAGACAACTTCCACGCAAACACTCTATTCTTCAATCAAAAATGGAAGGAAAGGTACAATACCGCTCATAACTTGTGCAAAAAAAAAACGTGATTACACATAAAAATCCGTCGCAAGCGTCGCATCGTCATAACTTCTTTCGGAATAGGTATTGTAAAAAGGGAAAGCGGTGTTAGACTCAGCTCATCCAGACGAATCTTAAGGCATGCCACACTACAGTAATATCCGCGGGGTACGGTAGATACGGTAGGAAGTCAACATAACGAATCCGCCTGAAACATTGCGTAAGGGTGGTTATATGACACTACCATGCAATTTCAGACGGATTTGCGATGTTACTTCCTACCGTGTTTACCGTACACCTAAGAGGTTACTGTAGTGTGGCATACCTCGAGATACGCCTGGATGAGCTCAGCTTAACACCGCTTCTCCTTTTGAGAAATATCTTCTCTAAAAGAAGTTATGAAGATGCGACGTTTGCGACGGATTTTTATGTGAAATCACGTATTTTTTTGCAAATGTTATGAGGGGTATTGTATAAGATTAGACGAAATCCATGAAGAAATTCTAAAAGAAGCTATTGTATTCTTTAAGCTTCTTGTCTGTGTGAGGCCGCGCAACCACTGACTCCCTAATCATTTGTCTTTCTAAACTGATTATTGCTTTCTTAAACCCTCAATCCTGTCATGATGAAGTTTCAATTTTAGTCCGCTATGTACTTTTATGAGGAAGGCGAGTGCATCACAAATACCGAATCTGCCCTTTCCAAGCCTAGTGCTTTCGCTAGAGAAGAAAACGAGAAAGTGGTCTATTTTCAAAATGGATGCTTGTCGAAGCTACAATCCCATGGTAGAAGCTATCATGAAAACTACCTAACAATTCTTATCTACATGTTATTTCCTTTTCGGAAAGTACAACTGCCACATCTGAAACAACGACATCTGCCGAAAAAACCGAGGAGGTAGAAACAGCTTCTGAGAAAGGTTTGCACACTGAAGCAGAAAATATTTGCATGCACGGCACTACACTATCCTACGAGCACATACATATTTTGTTGCAACATTGCACCTTCTTATACGTTTTTGTATGACTTTGCCTGCACCAGCACCAAAATTTTAGAAGATCCATCTCTCACATCAGCAGAACCCACTGAAAATCAAGATCACGTAAAAGAAGAGGAGATTGAGGACACTCCCGAGCTAAGAGGAAGTGGAAGAGACCTTTCTGATACCGTTGTACAGCTAACTGCTACCCGTTTTCGCGAAGCTACCACTAGTGCCGGATCTTTTAACATGGGGACCACCTCTGCTACGCATGAAAGTAAGACAGCAATGAAGTCGAGGAAGTAAAAATGCATGCTTTTCCGTTCACTGTATTTTGAAATCTTACTTTACACATCGCTTATCAACACCTTTCAAAATAATTGTTAATAGCTGATATACTCAGAGAGCAGCGATGAGGATGATGCGGAGGACGCTACTTCGGCAGAACTTACCACTACTACTGCCCACACTACGACCACATCAAGACAACAGCCAGAAGTGAGTCTAGCGTTTTCCTCCCTTAGAAAATCGCCATATCTCAATATATCAAAGAAGATCTTTTGAAGCGTGAAGAAAAGAATGAAGAAGACAACGAGGACTACTCAACTGAAGAAGAAAATGGAGATGTATGTCCTCATTGATGTTCGCCTTCAACCTTTTTATTAAAACACTATAGAGCTAGATGTTAAGGTTGAAACCGCAACAACCGCTGAAAGCTCCGTCGAAACGAAACTAAATAAGAAGGGCGAGAAAGCCAGTTACATTAAGTAGGTGATTTTAAATTTTTAATAATCTTTTCGGTTATCGTAACGTAGTGTGAATCATCTAAATACTACATTGGCTTTCAGATACAAGAAACATCCCAAGAACTTTGCCTCGAAGACGGCTAAACTCACAGACAGAGTTAAGGTAGATGCTTATATTTTTTATTGAAGAGCGGAACCGGCAAACGCTTATTGAATTAACTCTTCTAATACTTCCTTATTGACAAAAAAGAAAGATAATAAGTGATGATCAGTATGTCATTTGACCTCACTTATTCTAAACTAACTGATTTCATTTCGCCATATACGCAGATAAACATGATTTTCGACCCTTAAAATATTGTGATGCTTTAATTCCTACAAATTTTGCCAGTTTATGAAACGAACCTTACCCCCTAGCAAAAATTGGTGGAAATAATGGGCTGCGAGCCGCTAATGAACGGCGACTGTGCTGCGGGAAAATTGATTA